TGGAAAAACATCAAGGCGCAAAAACTACAAATTGGAGGAGGAGGTAGGCGCAAAATCGCTTCAGTGATTGCAAAGCGCATGACAAGAAAATATGCAATTTCGTAGTTTACTTAATAAAATTAATATATAGCATGGCCGCAAAAACAAATTATGCAATTTTCATTATTCAATCAAATGAAATTATTTGCAAAAAGCTTCAAAATCATAATCAAAACCGGAAATTTGAATGTACAATTTAAAATGTTTTGTGCTGATTTTGAGTTAAGTTTGCTATAAGGAAATTATGTAAATCAAATGAGTGAGTGGGCCATTCATTCACTTCGTTTATGTACTATTTACATAATAAATTTGAGCATCAACAAAAGACACACACTGAAGACATTGGGTTTTGAGGAAAGAGGAGACTATTGATTTATTTTAGACAAAGAAATCATAATTTTGTTGCCGAATTGAGTGACTGAATAGAAAAGTGATTTATTAGACGCGACTTCAGTGAAGCGTGAAACGCTCACGGAAATGCAAACTTGCCTCGACCCCTCGAATAAATGATATTACTTTATGTTTAAATTTTTTCATTTAATTTTGTTTAAATGTATTATATTTGCTTAATTCAATTTAAGTTAATTTTGTAAATTTGCTTTATTTTATTTTATTTTATTTTATTTTATTTTATTTTATTTTATTTTATTTTATTTTATTTTATTTTATTTTATTTTATTTTATTTTATGTATTTATATTTTTGCTAAATTTACTTTAAATTATCTCATTTTTTTATATGGATAAACCGTTCATTCATATGTATGTATGTACTTCGTGACCCATATTCTCTGCAAACAGATGTATGACATTTTAATTAATTTCTAGTAATAAAAAAATAAAAAACCTGCGCCACCAGCGCGTGAATGATTGACTTATTATGCAACATTTTGACAACTTCAATTACTGTAAACTGCATGCAACCAAAGAGGCGAGTAAAAAATACACAAATTTGGCTTTGCCAGTTTGCAACAAACTTTGCATTTTTCAATATTTCGCTATGAATGAGTTCGCGTAAAAAGTGTCAAACTGCGCGGCCCTTGAAAGACTCTTAGTAGAAATTACTTGATTTACATATATGCAAAATATATACATACAGACATGCTCAATTTTTCTGCAAGCAACTTTTGTTCGCTGCCACAAATTTGCAAGAGCATTAAAATTAATAAAATAATGTGCGAAGTAAATAAACGAATAGTAAGAGCAAACAAAAAAGGTTTCGGCCATGAAGCCGCGCTTGGCGAAGAAGCAAGTTAGACAAACAACCAACAAACAAATGCCACAAATTTACCATTCGACATTCGCTATGTGCATTAAGCAATCAAAATTCATTGACGGCAGTCAACGCAAAAAAATTTACCAAACCAACTGCCAGCGGCGAGACGGCCAACTTGGTTGCGCGTGCTCGGACAAAAAATTAGACAAACTCCAAAAGTGGAGGTGGGAGAGGAGAAACTTCGACGGCAGAGAACCAAAGATTTCTGCAAACAGAAAATGCAAACGCTTATGCATAATTTAAGCAAAGACCTGGAGACAGCCAGCAAACCAGCCAGCCAGCCAGTTAGCGATTGCGCCAAACAGTCAAAAAAAAAAAACAACTGCGACGACTGACACTCCCTAACTTTGAGGCTGATACGTCGTCAGTGGAGGGGGCTGTTGGACGCAAAGAGACGCACCGAATACGTTGTGGCGGTGTGGGCGCGGACAGTTGGGTAAGACAGCCAGCTGGTTGAGTGGCGAAGGAGGATGTATGTGGGCTTTGAGAGCATTAAAATTCTGCAGAAATGCAGAAAAGAAAAAACAGAAGAAGTAGAAAAATACATAAAGTTATAAATATAGAAAAAATAGCAGCTATCAGAAGCAATAACAACAACGCTAGCGACTTGTACATTTGCGTATGTCAACAGAGCCTTTTAATGTGAAAATGAATTTTCTTTTCAAGTGCGTGCTTTTTTTCTATCCGGCATTCAAGTCAGGCACATAATACCTTTTGCTCTGCCCACAACAGCCTTGGTCCTGTACAAACGTTTCTCTCCCTTCCGTAGTGTTCTTATGCAGTCTATACGAACTAGTACAGTGTCGCAATCACATAACAGTTGTGACCAGGAATGTTTATCCAGACTGCAAGAGACAAAACTTCTAGTGGAAGAAAGAGGTGAATTTTGCAACGCCGGATTTAAGCTTGACTGGGATGTTGATGGAGGGCGCTCCTCAGGACTCTGTACTGCAAGGAGACATTTATAGGTATTAGGAACGAAGTGGATTCGTTACTTCAGTCTACTCGGATCTTATCAAGATTTTGAACTCACATACTGTTCGTAGAAATGTTAGGAAGAAATACTGACCCAGAGTTAAACACGCTAGATCTTCGTTTCGTAGATTGCAGCTCTCACATATTGGTGGATCTCTATCTGGGAATTATACGATTGAAATAAAATCTATGACGTTCTCTACTCTCTGCTGTCGAAGGTAGCCCAAAGCGCTGGTGCTAATTAAGAATGTTTCATGCTTCAGAAAAAGTTTTCTACGGAACTCCAAATAGGATTAATCATCTCATACGGACCTCCACTAGCTTATTAAAATATTTATCAGTTAAATCCTTCAGCATATTTATCATTCTTGCGGCACTGTAGAACGTTACTCGTCCGCCGCTGCAATGTCCGCTAGTTGAATGTGTAAATCGTAATAAATAAATTCATTGCGAATACGCAAATAACGCAAAGTTAAAAAGCAATTGAAAAAAATCCTTCTTTTCCAAAGCGAAAGTAAAAATTCATAAAAGTGTAGAAGCACTTAACGACTTGAGAAGAAGAAGAAGAAAAAACGCAACACGCGCAAGCTAAACGAAGGAGAGACGACTACAGATGGCTGACGTTGAAGAGTTCAAGACGATTTGTCGCTACTAGAGTATGCAGAAGAAGTCCATTTCTAGAGTTATGTGCTGCACATGCCCATACAAACATCCACACGCACATTCGCATGAGTGTTTGCCCGTCTATTGCCAAGAAATTGAATAGAAATTAAATTTAGTTGGAAAAACACGAGCAGAGCCGACGACGACCACCAGCACCGCGGCGTCAATGTTAACGCTTACAACAACAACAACAACAACAACAACAACATCAACAACACCACCAACATATATTAAGCAAACAACGTCAACGCCGAAAGGCAACTGTGGCCTGTGGACTCCTGTAACCATCTAACAATAAGACGAATGCCGCACGCTGACAGCTAAGCAGGACAGCGTGTAAGACAGGCGGCTAAAAACATGGCACTGGCTGGTGGAGCTTGAGCTACCATTCGCTTTGCTAAATTATATATTATATTAGTGGTGACAACTCACGGTGTGCAATTGCCATTGCCACTGCCACTGTCGCGGTTGCAGTCTCCTACGCTGTCGCCGTCGTCGTCGTCGTCGTCTCGGTTGTTGTGGTCATGGCTGCACACAAATCAGCTAACTCGTGGTGCTAGCAGAGAGCCACAGTATAACCGCCTTGGTTGGGCTTGCTGGCGACGTGGACATTGAACACGTGAAAGCACGAAATCATTTAAAATTCTACGCACACGCATTGTGCACAGAGTCAGAGCGGCCAGTCGTCGTTGTTGTCTGCATTGCCGCCACTGTTTTATTAGACGGTTAAGAGCTTTTGTGGAGCTGCGAATACTTACAGCATTAATATTTTTATTAGCGGCATGCACAGTGAGAAAAGTACTTACTTTTCTTTTAGGTCGGATATCAGGAGGAGAGAAGGTGCTCGCTTTACTCTACCAAACTTTTGATATTCATGGCCTTAATGGTTTTCTTTTAGCACTTCTGTAGAAACTCATTTATTTTAAATCGAATCCTTTAAAACTTAAACGGGCTATGGAAACCAGAGCGACTCGTAGCAGACGTCAAACAGATAAACAGAAAAGCATCCCGAGAGCGATGAAGGGGAGAAAATTGACTACGCGGGACAGTCGACAAACCCATCCATTATTAGATCAAATTCATATATCGTCCTACTATGGAATTACACACGATATTTTGAGAGATGCTCCGGCAAAGTATTTGTCGCTGGGGATTGGAGAATGCTGCGAGAACGATTTTTGATTTGCGAAAATAGAGAAAATGAAAGAGTTTTTACAAATTTTTTATTATTTAGTAAGACAAAGGAAAGAAAGGGGCTTTTTCCCCGTAGGAAACTTTTGGGGATTTTATTTCTAACAAAAGTGATGAGGGAAAACGCCAACAGCCCATTTAATTTGAAAAACCGTAAAAGACTTCCAAATCCGACTCTTCAAATGCTGTCATCGCCCACTCTTCTACACCATAAAGTAAGACGAGAATGAAGAGCCACTTGTAGTGGTTGGGCTTTGTTTGTCGAGGAAAAACTTTACTTCTGCCAACTGCCTACTTAGTCAATGTAGCATCTGTTGGAAAGAGTATTTCTGTGCGGGATTTCATAGTTTAAAGTGTTTGTTCGTATTAATGCTGGTTCCAAATTTATGACTGTCAACAGTAAAATGAGAGCCGAGTCACGAATGCGTTGATTGCTTGATGACCCTCGTTCACTTCTACATCTATTTCCTATGCAACCCGAAGGAAGCAAAAATAACGGCGCCTAGACAACCCCAATGATATCATTGATGCATTGAACTTGACGAGATTTAAATTGAAAGCTTCTCTAACGAGCGTGCCCGAGGAGAAGGAAGGCTTTCACTCATTGGTCTTAACTACACTCTTCTCTTTTTTGGATGGAATTTAACAAAGCTGAGTATAAAAATAGGAGTAATTAAATCATAATTTGCAAAAAAGAAAAATTGTAATTGAATACCGTTAAAAGAAGTTTACTTAAATGCATGGAAAGTAAATAAACGTTCATACGAACAGTTCAAATCGAAAAATGGAGTGCAATTACACACTACTCTTTATGTTTTTTGGCTTGAAAATAATGAAAAAGAATCATAAAATACTTACACGTAACGTTTCAATTGCTGTTCTTGTTGTTATTGCCTTTGTTATTTGCATACAGTTTGGCATTTGAAAATTGGCTTTAATGATTTCACACTTTCTGCACTTTTATTGCTGCTTGCTTGTTTGTTGCATTTACCAATCATGCTTTTGTTTTCACTTTTCACACTTTTCCACTCTTTTATTGTTGTTCTTTGTTGTTTTATAATTGCATATTTAGCACTGTGTGATCTTTTACGGCGCGCTTGCCGCTACCGTTTTGATAAACGCGCCTTTACGACACACAGCGTTGTATTTTTTGCTGCTTTTCGCGCATTTTCAAACAGGCTTCGGTGTTTTACTGTTGTTTTGCATTTTTTTACGTTTATGTAGAAACCACATTGCTGTTTTGTGTTATGAAAAATTTATTTTATTGATATATTATTTAATTTTTTTTCACATTTTTTGCTGATTCTCGCAATGGTATGTTGATAAACATATGTTTCTTGCCTTATTTTTCTTTTCACTGCAAATAAAGTGGTTTTCATTTCATTGGTAATTCATAATTTATTAGTTCAGTTGCATTATTTGGTCGTTTGTTCTACTTTAATTCACAATTAAATGCATAAATTATTGTAATGCAATTATAATATTTTTTTTAATATTTTTAATTTAATTCATTATTTATTCTTTGCTTTTTAACGTGTTCTCCATTTATTTTTTTTTTCATCGAATTGCATTAATTAAAAAGCCATGTATCATGATTACTATGAAATGAAAAGCTGATATTTTTATTGAAGTAACACGCGCTCACGCGCATTTATAAGCAGCTAACAAGACTGCACGAATGGGAGTAGCATTGGGTGGACACGCATGCTTTTGTTGCGGCACAGTGTGTTGGTTTTTGGTAAATAAGAGATAAATTGACGTTCAAAAGCTTTCCACTTTGGACAGTTTAATGGAGCAAATTGCAACTGAAGTCAAGGAGTAAAATCGCAAAATCTCCCTCTCAAAAGTTTCGAATTTAGACTCATCAGATATCGTTATTGTCCAGCATACAACACAGTGAATTTTGGAAGCACTTCCAGTGGTATTGGAATTTTCACCAAAAATCATAAAAAAAATACTTTGAATATATAAACAATAAGTTGAACAAAATGTTATACTATATCCTATAGTTCCCTTATGAGCAATAGTAACAAATTGGATTTTTCCAAGACTCGATGATTTCCCAAATCCTTCGAGTTCGATCACTTGATTGTGAAATGAAATTCACCAAATTTGTTGTACGATTTCTTAATTATAAAGAACTTAAGACTTGAATTAAGCTGATGCGGCTGCTGATCGCTACCAGCACACCTAGGCCACTACGCTCATTGTGATACCGCTGATGCTCCTACCTACACCTTCACAAATGATCGAATTTTTGTTGAGGCTATCTCAGCGAGACCATCGAAGAAATGTTTTATATGAAACTTGTGATGTCAAGACTGGAATGTGGCAGAGATAGTGCTCGATGGTCTCACCCTCTTCTTCCTCCCTCCAGCTGCCGCAAAAATCACTGTTTTCCCTTGAAGCCCCGTTAATCAGTGTTCTGTTATTATGCAAGTCGATATGTTTATGGAGTACTGGTCCGGAAGGATAAGATGTTTCGATTTTTTAGCATCCAACTGTCTAGTCACATAGCACGTGATCTCGTTTAACCATCGTGAGTTAGCTTCCCCGATGAAGACCAGTTTAAGCATGTACTTTGCCGTGAACAGAGATAAGGTAGCATGGGGTGCATGCTTTATCGTAGATAGAAAGGTTACATTCCTTGCTAGTTCGTCTGACATACAATTGCCTGGATTATCTCTGTGTCCAGGTACCCAGACAACGGCAGTACCATACTTCGTTGAGAGTTTGTTAAGAAAGTTCTTACAATTTATGGCCACTTTTGACGTGGTATCATTACATTAAAGAGATTTGTTTGCAGCTTGACTGTCGGAGTATATTGTGGCCTCCATTATTGCAAAGAGTTCTGCCTGGAAAACGCTGCAGTGGTCTAGTAGTCTCATGCGCATTTTCAATAAATTCTGCAACCCACTTTTCCATCAAGCTTCGAGCCGTCTATGAAGACGGCTATTGTTCCCTTGTCGGAAGCGTTGGTGGTTTCCCACTCGCATCTGTGTGTAAGGACAGTTTGCTTTACTATACGCGACGGCTTATATTATAACTTTCACACTCTACTATTGTCATCAACAAGTTTACTTTATAACTAATCACCACTGTTGGCAGTTCTTGTATATGCCTATTTGCTCGCATTCAGTCCTAGAACTTTATGGAATGCTTTTACGGTATACGTTCTAGAATGTGCTTTAGATATCGGCATTTCCTTTTTATCTATCAACATTTGGCGTCCTATTGAGTAGGCTAGTGGAATCTTAAGTTCGTGAATGGAATTAAACTTATTTGAAAAAAAAACTAAAATAAAGAGTATTGCACAAAAACATCGGACAACTAAAATTCTAGTCCGATTTATAAAAAAGTAAAAATTTAATAGTGGCTCCAAGGCAATTAGACATGTTTTGGTGCGGACCCTGAACTATAATCAAGAATTAGGAGTCAAAGCTTGAAATGGCATAAGCTCCTAGGAAGCAGTATTTTAGTGTATCTACCTCAACATATTTTACCTTTCCGTTCTCATCACCGAAAGTTTAAGAAAGTTTAAGATTCTGATCGAAATTTTTCATCTGGGGTATATTACATAGCTCTGTAGTGACTTTATTCTACTTTCCGAATTCGCATAGGCAAAATTTTACTCTTACTTTGGAAGTAACATATGGAACTTCTCAGGGTGTCATACAATCCCACCAAATCTAGTCTTGGTGGTTTAGGTTGATGTGGTGATACTGAAAATTAGTTTTCTAAATGCCAGATACCACTTACAATATACAAGCAAATCCTTCAGGGTACATCACAAGTTGGCGAGTGTGCCTGTCTAAGAATATGGGAACGCTGATGGACTTCAATCTATACATAGAGCAACTCTGATATATGCCATCGACTACCAGCTGAAAACTTGTACGCTCTGCTTAATATTAATCAGCTGTTCGCAAGTGATTTAAAGTAATTAGAGTTTCAATTTTTAACAAAAAATAATCGGCCAAATGTCACACTTCTTTAAAAAGGATAGTTAGCTAGCAATTGAAGTTGATCAAGCGCTCGTTGACCTATTGGCCGGTTGTGATTCTTGCATACTTAACTGAGAGCATGAGATGTTTCACTGTAAGTGGTTTCTAGGCGACATCTGGTCTAAATCATCCAAAGGTAAAAACTATCTATAACTATGAGTCTTCTTTGTTGGCAGATTTCACTGTTTTAGTAACTGGACAACTCCAGCCAGTTTTTACATATGGTAAAATCAGAGAGGTCAAAGACAAATTGAGTACCTTGGTGTGATCTTCTGCTTCCCCTGAACCCTGATATTTTTATATTAACTTGCTTACTCTGCCGTTGCTCATGGATTTAAAGGCCTTCGCCTTCTCGGTAACTCCCTGAACCACTTTTTTGGAAAAATCTAGCGCAGTGCTGATGTTTGATAGTTTTCCCAGGCAGTGGATCATATGTCGGGTCTAGCCAAACGAGCTCGGCGAATAAAATTTCACGTCTCGTTGAATCGGCTTGGCATAGATGGTCGCATCTCGAAGCTAAATCCGCAACTTCCATCGGAAAATTTTGGACGGATTTCCGCAATGCGGCCGAAAAAACCATTCTCCAATTATAACGTCAGTTGGAGTGGGAAGAGCATCGAAGGCCTTCATGCTAAATTCCGTGAAGCCAGGTCAATAAGCTTTTTTAAAGTTAACATTGCTCGCGGAGCCAAGGTCCGGAGGCCTTCCAATCGAGATAATTTTGGACAAATGGTCTCATGCGCGAGACAGCATAAATTACCTTGAAAGGTGCTTATCAGACCAGCACAATTAGTTGTAATATCAGGCGAGGTTCGGATAGTTTTCCACAATTTTGGTGGTAGTCATTGGTGGTGCAGAATGCCAAGTAGTTTATCTCTTCTCCTTATTCCATTCCTCTACGGTAGAATTGTATATACTAAATATCTCGAGCTCAACATCGCCTGACCAGATCCCCGGGATCGATCTTAATCAGGATGAACGCTAAGCCACCACCATGATCTCCCTTACGATCCTTGCGTTTGATGTGAAACCGATTTTGCTCAAAGGGTTTCTTGAACCACAGTTATTTGCAAATGCTTTGGACTAAGACCACTAACTCGTCGACCTTCTGTTTGTTGTTGTTGTTCCCAGTCGGGTCCGGGTCGTTCCCGACTGGAGCTATTAGATTTTAGTCACTTCTTACAACAGACACGCTTTACCGCGGGTAAATTCTTGAACCCCTGACCCACAGGGGTACTCGTCGAACTGCTCATGGAGACCGCTGCTGTAGAATCGTAAAAGTCTAGTATGTCGCGAGAGGCGTTCGTTATACGGGTGGTGAGAGTGATATGTAGGTCTTGGATGTTGCCGCTGGGAAGGTTGCGCGCACATTGTTGGTAGCAGCTTTAGAATCATAATTTACTGAAAGCACAACAGCACAAGTAGCCTAAACTCTTCTATAAAATTTTATAATTTAAATTCTTTAAATTCTAATTTCTACAACTCTAATCTTTAGCTCTTTAAGTCTTGACAACTAAATTCGAATACCTGTGAATTCATGTTCCCCAACGTAAATAATCCAAGCCTTATACGAGTATATATGTATGTGTATGTGTGTGCTTGAGCTCATTCGCTGGTAAATTTTTTCATAATGCGAATGGCGCATGTGCGTTGTGTTGTCATGAGTTCGCGTTGGCATTGTCGCCCATTTGCTTAGTTAAATGGAAGTTAAAAGATTTATGACTTTTGCTGTAGAATTTTACATTACTGCATGAATGTGCATATGTATATATGTATGTATGTATGTGTGCTGTATATTTTTACATTTTGCATATTTTCAAAAGACATACATCAAATGTGGTTGGACATTAGTAGAAGTGTACACATGTACATATGTACATAATTCTAGGTACATGTTCTAATGCTAGATTATTATTATTATTATTTTTGTTTGTATACTTCGTCACGAACATGTACAGCATTTTTCCACAAGAACAACTTTATTTTATTATTGGTCATTTAAGCATATATTTCTTGTTTTTTATTTATATTTTTATTTAATTTCATTTTATTTTTTCATTTTTCATTTATTTCATTGCCTCCACAAAATGTTGTTTATACATAATTCTTCTTCTGCCTTGTTTGTTGCTGTTGCTGCTAAGCTACTGTTTTTACTGAAAATTACAAAAAAAAAATGTTTTTCACTTTTTCCCTTTAGTTATACATATGTACATATATAACTAGGCAATTGTTTCTACCTTTTATTTTTTATTTATTTATTTTTTAATTTTTTGAAGAGCTTCGACAGCGCTTTTGAAATGAAAAATAAAGATAAAAAATACGTAAAGAAGGCATTTGCGTTTCGACCTTTTCC